ACACAGTTCACTATATTCTTTCCAATTCTTTAACCTTAACTTAATCTTAACTGGGATACAGGCTACAGAAATGAACTTTCAGGCATAGGTCCATTGGGCTGCTATAAATCTTACCTATTTGTCTGGATATCATTTTTTCTGGACACTGAGCACAAGCATAGCAGCAAAATTTTCGCCCTTTGATCTTGTTCTTTCTTTTTCTAAGAGAACATGGCTCATTACATAATGAGAGAGGTGGTACCTATCCCCAAATAAACAAAAAGAAGTCATTATTTTTTGTTTTTATTCTGTTTTACAGCCAATGAATAAGAACTAGTGTGTCAAAAGTCAGTCCTGCCATAAAACAGACAAGTTAACCTTGGAAGGATTGCTGAAACCAGGAACACAATTGAAGTTGTATTTCATTTATTTTTAGTTAAGTTAAAGTGTAATTAATGGGGTGGTGTGTAGATGTGAACCTGGGAGTGGGTATGGCCAGATGGGAATGGTCATGGTGGGTATTTGACACAGGCTCAAGATGCTTTTTTCTCCTTCTCTCTTTTCTTTCCACAGTTCTTTACTATAACCATTTTTCTATCTCTTCTACCAGATGTTTTATTTATTATTTATTTTATTTGTCAATCGCTTACAAGATACAGGTATAAGAATAAACATAGTTTTGAATACATGAGATAGATACTTATAAGAAAAATAAAAAGAAACAATAGGACAGGGACGGTAGACACAATTGGTGCACATACAGGCCTCTTAGGAAGGGGGTGAAGTCAATAGTAGATAATCTAAGGTTAAAGTTTTTGGGGTTTGGGGAAGAAACATTGACCACTCTGTTGCTGAAGTTGTATTTTCTGCAGTCAAGTTTGGTGCAGTTAACCTTGAGTTTGTATCTATTGTGTGCCCTTATATTGTTGTGGTTGAAGCTGAGGTATTCATTTGCAGGTAGGACATTGCAATGTACTATATTTAGATTGGACAGGAGGTGGCATAGTTCTAGGTTTTCTAGGTCTAGAGTTTCAAGTCTGTTGTCATAAGTTATTCTGCAATGAATCGAGGAGCGAAGAACTCTGCTAGTGAAATATTTCTGGACTTTTTCAATTGTGTTAATATCAGGTATGTAATGTGGGTTCCAGACTGATGAGCTGTATTCGAATATTGCTCTAGCAAATGTTTTGTATGCTCTAGTTAGTAGTGTGATATTACCAGAGAAGAAGCTACGTAGGATTAGATTAACAACTCTTAATGCCTTTTTGACTATGTACTCATCAGATATGAGTACTCCAAGGTCCTTGACAGAGTTTGGATTCTCAACAAGGTCTTGACTATTTAGCTTGTATTTTATTTTCTGATTTTTTTTGCCAATATGTAAGACAGAGCATTTATCTGTTGAGATTTGAAGTTGCCATTTGATTGACCATTCTGATACATAGTCAAGATATTTTTGGAGGGTAGTAGTATTGTCTGTGGTGTTGAATAGCTTTTCAACATCAGTGAAGAGAGCGTAGTTGCTCTTAATATGATCACAGAAGTCATTTATGTAGAATATGAAGAGTTGGTCCTAAAACACTTGGTGGGGACACCACTGTGGACAGGTACAGAATTTGATAGGACGCTCCCAATTTTGACCATTTGTTGTCTGACAAGAATGCTTCTATCCAGTTATGCACATGTCCAGAGATACCATAAGATTTTCATTTTAGGAGTAGTTTGTCGTGTACCATTGAATCAAAGGCTTTACAGAAGTCTATGTAGATTGCATCTATTGCTTTGCCCTGATCGAGTTGTGTAGTTCATATATTTTGCAGTGTAATTGTTGCAGATTACAGGGTAGTGTTTTTCCTTTTTTAAAAATTTATTATTGATTCTTAAAAACAAACATGAACAGACAAAACATAAAAACATCAACGTTTCTTCCAAGAGTATACAAGCAGTGTGTTGGTTGGTTTACAAATTTTTTGCGCATCCATTTCGTAGTCATCAATTTCAGTTACATTGTATAATAACTCATATTCTCAATCAGAAATTAAATACCCTCGTATCATTATTATTCAATCA